TGAAGCGTATGTAACCTGAGGTACCACTGTAGTTTAAGGAGCAAAAAGCAAACCTTTGTTGTTGTTTTTTAATGATATTTATTGAAAATTTTTAGAATTACAAAAGAGAACAAAGCAGAAAAAAAGAAAAAAACAAAGAAAAAACAAACCACATCAAACAATACAGATTCAAAAAACAAAAATACACCACAAACACTCAAAAACAAATCCATCATTCTCAAATCCTCAACTGTCATTACCTTCTTTCATTGACCTCCTCCTCCTCCCTTTTTTGTATCCTAGTTGTTAATTGTCGCAGCAAATCCTTTCCATATTTCATAATATTCTGTCATTACATTACCTTAATCTATTTTAATCTTATCTTACTATAAAGAACCTTAAAGCTTAAAACTTAAATCTTATTTTTACCAACTTCTCATAACCATAATATTCTTACATAATTCTTTAAACATTTTTGCTAAAGCCAAGTAATTTCGTTCCAACATTTTTCTAACATTCATCAATTTTATAAAACAATCCTAGTAGTAAAAAAAAGAAATAAAAACAATCCAGTCTTCATCCAGCGTCCCTTCCTCCTGGTCCCAGGTTTTGTCAGTCCTTATTATCCCATCGATCTAGCGCATTAACCTGGTAACCTTGTATCCGAGGCCCTTAAGTCTCTTCCATGTCCCTTCCGCAGCTCTTCTTCATATTTATAACTGTATTTTCCTTTGTCTCCTGCTCCTTTCACTCGTGGGAACTCCAGCTTAACAATGTTTTTGACCCTTCTCGACAAATCAACCCCTTTTCCATAGTCCACACTAAACTCCATGTGGTATTTAAGAACATGTTTCAAAATCCCTCCAAAATTAAGAGCCCCCACAACCCCAAACATCTCACGGCCCATTGCCAGGTCCAAACATCCCTGCATAGGGGGGTCTATCCAACCCCCCATTTCCAAACCAAACCAAACTTTATCTTTCCAAATCTGGCTTTTTCCAAGTTCATTTGTCAAGTCCAAAAGCTCATGTTCCTGCTGAGCCACAGCTCCCTTCATCTCTGGCGCCCAAGATTCAGCAACATCCTCTTCCCTCATCTGTTCTGTCAGGGCACACTCCTGATTTAATTCCTGGGTGGGCTCCGTATAATTTCCCACTGCCTGTTCAAAATTTCTGATCGCATCAGTCATCAAGTCCATCTTCTCATGTAGCTGTTCCAGTAGGGCATTTGTTTTACAGAAAGCACGCAACAGAGCTTCTGAATACATTGTCCTGCAAGGTCAGAAGTCTATTCCCACGATTGTAATCTGTAACAGCTGCAAGCTCTCCGGAGTTGGTTACAGTTTCACAGTCTCCCTCTAGGGGGAAAACTTCTATTTGTTCTTTCCTTTAAAGACAAGTCTAACAACAAAGTTTCCTTTTTCAGATATTTTGTCAATATTTATTCCTTTAAAATGCGAAGGGGAACAATGGAATCAATGTTTCTCTTCTTATAGCTATCTGTCAAAAACGTTTGTCTCTGGTCAATGAGCTTCAAAAAACGTCAGTCCTGACACCCCGCTCCAGGATCAGGACGGTGGAAAGTTACTTTACTTTACACTCACTTCAGCAGGTTTAAACAGTCCGAAAAAATCCCCCCTCTTCTCCTGCTTCTGAAGGGGTGTTCAACAATTTTAAATGATGAAAGTTAATATTTTACAAGCGATTTTCTGAGCTCTAGTTTGCCATGTCTTTGCTTTAATCTATCTACAAAGAAACGGAAGGCTGACTTCCTGTTTAGACCTTCCCGTTTCAGTGCCAAATTGAGGTAAACTTTTAAGTCCAATTTTCCTTTCTGCTCGCAAGTCCTTATTTAAAGTCCAATTGTCCAAAATTTAAGTACTCACGGGTGATTATTTTAGAAGCCAAATTGTCCCAGGAAAAAGGCAGCGCTCTCCGGCAACGGCTGTGCGGCTTCGCTCCACGGAAGAAGCAGTTGACTCTCAGCACCGCGCCACTTCCCCCTCTTCGCTCTGGAGCCCGTTAGTGGGTTCTTTTGTGGGTTGGGGGGGGCGCTAAAGGTGCCCGCCGAGTCCCATGGTCACAGGCTTCATCCGCCTGTGATTTTTGAAAGGGTCCCCGCTTCGCCGTAGCGGAAAAGACCCGTTTCGCATGGAGCTAGTCCCTCCAGATCAGAGGGAGTCCGCCATTGCCGATGGCGCCACCCCGGAAGTCCCCGCAAAAAGCAAACCTTTGGAGCACACTGGAATTGTTATAGGCCATGGGTAGGCAAACTAAGGCCCGGGAGCTGGAGCCGGCCCAATCGCCTTCTCAATCCAGCCCGCGGACGGTCCAGGAATCAGCGTGTTTTTACATGAGTAGAATGTGTCCTTTTATTTAAAATGCATCTCTGGGTTATTTGTGGGGCCTGCCTGATGTTTTTACATAAGTAGAAAGTGTGCTTTTATTTAAAATGTGTCCCTGGGGTATTTGTGGGGCATAGGAATTCGTTCATTTCCCTCCCAAAAATATAGTCTGGCCCCCCACAAAGTCTGAGGGACAGTGGACCGGCCCCCTGCTGACCCCTGTTAGGTCTGTGTAACCAAAAGACACCCCTCCCCCCCGTAACTTTATAATTTGATCATCTTATAAAAATATAGGAAGTGTAATCGTCACAAAATATGATGGGCAGTTGTTGAAAACATGCTGCCTCTTTGGTTGCTATGGGACAGTCTGAAATTTATGTGGCAATGGCTAGAGTGGCATCTGAATGCAAGGTAAATAGGTTCCTGGGGACTGCAGAAAAGGTGGCATGGCTTCTGCTGAAGGGTGCCGGAGCTGTATTTTAAATCTAATAAAAGCATCTCCATATGGGCCACAGGTTAACCATTCCTGAACTAAAGCCTTCCTAGTCCTAACAAGGAATGGGGTAGAAATTTGATTTAGTTCACATTTAAAGACAATCTCATCTGATTTGCACTGCCCCAAACAATATGGCAGCTGCAGCGCATCTGTCCTTTGAAATTTGCACTTCTCTGAATTTTGTCATGCAGCGTCTCCAGTCAAGTAAAGTGTACAAAAGTGAATATACTCGGGTGAAGCATCCATAAAAATGCATATAGATGGCTTATTTTAGAGCAATTCCCCCCCCCCCCCAGTGTGTATTAGGCAACAATATTAGGAGAAACTCACGCTAAAATACTGGTGCATTTTCATTGAAAAAATCATAATCATAATAATTGCAAACTGATGTGGAGAGCCGAACTTAGAATGGAAAAATGAGAAACTGACAGAAACCAAAATGGACAGATTTGCCCATCCCTAATCCTGAACTGATGCTCTAAGCATGATGCAACACTTGCTACGTAAGATTCGGCTGTATGTAATTCAGTCAAAACTCTCTTGAGAATTCTCCATGAGGTCAGAAACTAGGAGCACATCGGTTTTTGAGGTCCTTAAGAAGGAAACGGTCCTGCTTTCCCCCTTTATTGTTGTGTGGGTGTGTCTGGTCTTCCCACTGGGCTAAGAGTGAGTGTGAAATAGCAGCAGTTAAATGCTACCGAGTGAGAATTTTCCACTTATTTACAGTGCTGGCAGATGTTCTCCTATTTTACACCAGCATAAATGACTCTGTCGGCCCAGGGACTCCAATAAAACAGACATGAATTGTGCTTTCTTTGGCACTTATGTAGCAGATGCACTTTAGAGGAGAATTAGTTATTCCATCAATTTTATTGGACTGCATAGGCATAGAGTTTATTATGTTACTAATTTTCTTTTGGAATGGGAAATACTTGCTCTAGTCATATAATTATTCATTATACACATCAGGTTTTACAAATATTGCTCTTAATGAGAGTTTTAAAAGCATTTGTCAGATAAAAGGCACATTCTATGTATATTTTTGAAACAGAGTCATTAAAGTGAGTGGCATGTGATTATAAATTTCCTAGTGAAGATTTCTCATATGCCAAATCCCATGGATACTAACACAAATGCTCAAAAATAATGAGTGAGGCCCACACACAAAACTGGCTTTAAATTATGCATTTTTATAAATAAACCCAATACAAATTTTCCTTAAAAAGAAAAAAATATTTTAACAGGCTCATTCCTGCTTAAACATTTGTCTGGTTTTTTCCTTGGTGGATTTGCCTGAGCCACAATATTGCCTCCAGACTTTGTGGGAGGATTTCAAGCGCCTATCGGAAATTTAGGTTTGAACAGTTAACGTGCATTAAAGCGTTCTGTCGCCTTGGCGCAACAAATATACTTGTTTGTTTGTTTTTCAAAAGACCTTTTGCAGTTAAGAAAGCAATGGGAAAATTCACGGAAGTGTGGGAGGAACAAATGATTGACGGGAAGACATAAAAACAGGATCAGGATGAATGTTCACCAAGAATGCTTAATTTGGGTTGCCATGTTTTGAACACAAAACTTGAGCTTTTTTTTTGCAGAGTCTCAGAAAAAAATAGGTTCTGAGCTATTTTTAAGGAAATTCGCCAAAATTTACACTTCTGACATAGGCATTTAAGCGATTTCTGCCCGCACACTATTTCTGAGAGCCGAATCCCAACTGTGTCTGGGCAATTTCTTACGTATGGCAGTCCTAGTAGAGATCAGACATTTAAAGGAATATGGTATCATTCTAAGCAGTCATGGCTTCCCCCAAAGAATTAAAGGAGCTATAGTTTATTAAAGATGCTGTGAGTTGTTAGGACACCTCTATTCTAGGGTTACCAGATGTCCCCGTTTCCCAGGGACAGTCCCCGGATTTGCAAATAAGTCACCGGACAAATTCCATCCCCAGAATGTCCCCGGATTTCATCTAATGTCCCCAGGAAACGCAGCAGCGGCAGTCTCAGCAGCCCGGAGCAGTTGTCTCTGACTGGCTTCAGGAGCTGCTCGGAAGTCCCCATATGATGGTGGTGCAGGGCTCTAAGATGCAGCTTCCGGGCTGCCTCCACCTTCTCTGACCCCAGCAACTAAGCTGTGAAGGGAGGCTTCACGCTGCCTATCGGAGCAGCCTCCCAACTCCTACTTGCGTGCAAGCAGGAGCGGGGCGGGGATCTCTCAGCTGTGAAGGGAGTCTTCATGCTGCCTATCAGAGCTTGCGTGCAAGCAGGAGAGGGCAGGGATCTCTCAGTTAGGCAACAGGAAGCCTCTCTTCCCAGCTGGGGGATCCCTGCCCCCTCCTGCTTGCACGCAAGTAGGAATGGGATTGGGGCTGCCCCGATGGGAAGGGAGCATCATGCTACCCAAGCCTCGCCGCCGCTCTCGGCCCTCCTTCTCCATGCCTGGCCCACCGCGCCCTGCTTCCCTACCACCACCACCGAAGAACCAACAACTCAGGGGCTGCCCAGGCTCATGGAGAAAGGAGACGGAGCCTCGGAGGAAGGGGAAATGTGGTGGTTGAGGTCAAGGTGGAGGCCGCCCCTCTGCCACCGCCATAGCTGCAGCATCAACGTCCCAAACGTGTGGTAATTAATTAATTAATTAATTAAAGTGTCGCCGGATTCATTGGAAAAAATCTGGTAACCTTACTCCATTCTCCTTCCAGAGCTACAGTTCCCAGAGTTCCCAGTGAAGAGGGATTGATTATTAAAGCACTCTGAGAATTGTAGCTTACAGCATCCTTAACAAACCAGAGCTCTCATAATGCTTTGGGGGAAGCCATGACTGGTTGAAGTGGTTATCATAATGCCTGATCACTCAATTGTCCCAAATTAATTGGGACACCATGAATTCACAGAAGCTGCCCTGGCTTCTGTTTGAAGTGTATGATGTTCCAGTTCTGCCTCCTCACCACCCCCTTCTCCTCCGGGGCAGCCTCCACCCAGGGCCGGATTTAGGTTTGATGAGGACCTAAGCTACTGAAGGTAATGGGGCCCCAGCTGTCCTTTGTCAACAACAAATTATCGCTGTTTTTTGTGTTGAATATATGCTATATAGTAATTTATGGACCTAATAGGTATCTAAAGCCATTTGCGCAAAACAAAATATGTATTTTACCAGAGTAATTGATATAGAAATGAGCAAACCAGTGATATTTTGGGGAGCAGGCCAGCAGACGGGGCCCATTACTTACATCATAGGAGTCTACACAACACAAAACACTGATGCTATATGTAGGTTTTATTTTATTTGTTTTTATCTTATATTTTGGAAATGTACATCCAGGTTTTTTTTCCTTTAATTTTTTTGGGGGGCCCCCAAGAGAGTGGGGCCCTAAGCTATAGCTTGTTTACCTTATACATAAGTCCCAGGTTAGTGGGTGCTGGACACAGGATTACAGGGCAGTCTTATAAATATCTGCCTAAAACTAAGCTCCACATTCAGTTGGACTTAAGTTTAGATGTGTTACACACACACACACACACAGAGAGAGAGAGAGAGAGAGAGAGAGAGAGAGAGAGAGAGCACCTAGGCTCTGTATTAGCTGGGCTTTGTCCCTTACAGTATACACATGGTATGAGCTCATCACAAGGAGCACCAAGCCTGCATAAATGTTTTCTCAATAAAAAGCCATTTTAATCTCTATACCATTCTGAGCTCTTGCAGTGAACTGTAAATGTGTTACTGCTAAACAGTAACGCTATTCCTCCCCTTCAATTGTAGAATATGAGTCTATTTTTGGCAACACAAAACCCCTATCACTCTCAACCTTGGGGAAGCCTGCCTATTTAAAAGGAAGAACTTAATAGTGAAGAATAAAAACTTCCCTCCTATTTGCAAAGCAGGGGGTTGATTTGTTTGTGTGTGTTGTGAGAAACAGACAATGAAGTCTCTTATGCTGTAAGCAAGGAGCATAAGGGGAATTTTTGTTTCACATCGTCAGGAGATTAGGACAATCAGCAGGCTTCCTTGCCACCAGAAATACTCACTGAATAAGTCAGCTCGTGGGAAATTAGGATTTTAAATTGTCTTGATGATGCCAAAAAAGCAATTGTAGTCCAGAGCTCTATGGGAACATTTTGAGGGCCAAATATCAGTATGTCCCCTGCAGACTGGCTTCAAGAAAGAAAGAAAGAAAGAAAGAAAGAAAGAAAGAAAGAAAGAAAGAAAGAAAGCTTTTTCTAAGGACATTTATTGTGGAACAAACCACAACCCCTGACATTTGATGCTTCAAAGCTGAAAATACAAACACACAGTGAATTAAGCATTCCAGATAGGCTCTTTGACAGTGGTGTGGTCTGGCCACACATAAAAGCATATACCCACACCTGCAGTTCAGTCAGTTCACAGAGCTGGTGGAAGAACTTTGCAACAATATGAGGAACCTGTAATCCTCCAGAGATTGTAAGACTGTTTTGTACTGAGTTGAATAGGATCCAAAATGAAGCATTCTGATTGGTCCTAGAACAATAGGATTCAGAATGCAGCAGTCTGATTGGTCCTAGAACAATGCAGCAGTATGATTGGTCTGCAGGAGCCACCCAATCCAGCTCCAGATGGAAGTGAATCCACAACCTGATTGGCCTACAGGAGAATTCCGGAATTAGCCAATCACGTGCAGCCCATTTATATAAATAATGTATATAAAGCAGATACTTTGAGGGGACATTCATTCCTCCTCACCACTATGAGCTGAATAAAGAGCATGAAATCCACTCTCGACTCTGAGTATATTTCAAAAACTGACTACAACTCCCACCACCCCTGGCTGCATCATGCTGGCCGGGGCTGATGGGAGTTGCAGTCCAACAGCATTTTGGGTGGGAGGGAAGTGAGAAAAGGTTTACCATCCCATCCCTGCATTACAGCCTCCTGTATGCAGGCCAGTATTAGCCATCTGTGGTTGCACTTACGACAGCCACCACAACACAATGTTCATGATTTATTGGGTGGGTGCTCATGCATGGGAGCACCTGAAACCTTTTGCACAGCAGCTGCTTAGGAGTCATGCCATCACTGCTTAAGGCAGGTGGCTGGATCAGCCTGGAGGTTGTCCCCTACGCTCATCCAGCCCAGGCAGGGCCAACCTAAGACATAGTAGGTTATTTGACACCTGTGGTAGAAAACCCTAAAGGAATAGGATTGTAGGAAACTGCCCTATACTGGAATCGACAGTGTGATACAGCAGCAAAAAAAGCTAGTGCTACTCAAGGCTACATCAACAGAAGTCTAGTATCCAGGTCAAAGGAAGCAATAGCACCACTCTATTCTGCCTTGGTCAGACCGCACCTGGAATACTGTTGTCACAATTTAAGAAATATACTGGCAAGCTGGAACGTGTGCAGAGGAGGGCAGCCAAGGTGACCAAGGGTCTGGAAACCAAGCCTTATGAGGTACAGTTGAAGGAGGAGACTGAGAGGAGATATGATAGCCATCTTCAACTCTCTCAAGGGCTGCCACATGGAAGATGGAGCAAGCTTGTTTTCTCCTGCTCTGGAGGATAGGACCGAAACTAATGGATTTAAGTTGCAAGAAAGGAGATTCCTTTTTGACAGTGGAACAGACTCCCAGTGGAACAGAGGTGGTGAACTCTCCTTCCTTGGAGTTTTTTAAGCAGAGGTAGGATGACCATCTGCCATGGATGCTTTAGTTGAGATTTCTGCATTGCAGGAGGTTGATGTAGATGATCCTCGGGATCCCTTCCAACTCTACAATGCTACAATTCTATGATTCCTTGGAGGAAAAGGTGGCATTGAAATGAAATAATCAATCAATCAATAATCAATCAATCAATCAATAAAATAGGGCTGGATTCCCCACTAGAGGGAACATAAGACGTCTCCCAAAGCTCTGCCGTAAACTGGCAAATGGTGGCACATATGTTGCTTTTGCTGGCCTTGAAAGCAGTAAGATTCCAGAAGGTGATCAGGGGCTCTGAGTGCTTGTAAGACCCCTTCACCCTTCTCCTGGCACTTGGAAACAGGGGGTTACACTGTGTTCGTTTTGTTCAAAAGACATGTGTGATAGGGTTTTCAAGTGGTTTGGAAACCATCTGGTGGAGAGAGAAAAAATACCAAGTTGTTTCATCTTCCCCCCTTCTCTCTACTCTCTTTGTCCAAACTCTCTTTGTTTTGAGAAGTTTGCATCCCATTTTTCATTCCTTTTTTGTCGAAATAAGAGACTTTCAAGTGCAATGTGTGCTTCTTATAAATAAAGTACACATGGCCAAAACTGAGTATCCTTTTTTTATTATTCAAAAAGAAGCAACTTAACGTTAAATTTTCCTCTTAACAGATGGTGCTGTAATTATAATTTTCACTGCCTGAACTTAACTTAAGGTGTGGATGGCCTGTATAAAACCTGAGGACAAACTTTGTCCTGCTTTTCCGATCATTCAAACATCATTCCTTCTACCTTTATTTGCACATAGTCATGTTGAAATTCTCATTTTGCAGCAGCTTATGCAAAAACCAAACACCTGGATTCAACGTTTCCTAAAGGAGTCGTCTAAAGAAAAAAAAAGAGGGTGATTTCTGCCAAAACGTCATGAAGATTTATGGCTTTACATTTGTGGATTAAATTGAGGACAGGTGGGAGAACACTCAAGCATGCGAAAGAATGATAGCAAATTTATATATAAGAAAGGGATAGTTATTATGACTAGTCCTGGTTAGATAAAACGGATACATTTTCTCGCTGCAAAAAAAAAAAAAGGAAGGCAAAAAAAGGAAAAACAAGACTTCACCAGACAGATAATTACCAACAAGATAGTGTTTCAGCAAAGCAAAACTCAAAAGCACTCTGGAACTGAAAGCGCATTCTGTGTTCCATATATAACCACAAATTCTAAAAGCCGCTTGGATGGCTTTTTGGCTCAACTGAACAGATGTTTAAAGGTAAGTGGGCTGCTGAATCCCCAAGAATATGGTTCCAGCATGCAGGCAAGTACTCCAATTTGCCTTGCATCCCAAACCTACATGCAATGATCTGAAAGTAAATCAGTCCCCATGATTGTGCTAGATGTTACTCCCTTGTAGGTATACAATTTCAGCCTTAGGTTTAGAAAGAGGTGGTGGGATCCTAACTGGACTACACCACTTCAGACAGGGGTGGGGGGTGGGGTTCCAAAGCAGACAGTAAAAAAAAATTTTATGTTCCTAGCATTTTTAATACCCGCAATCTGAACTGATACTTACTGCCCCATTCACTCTAAGGGAAGTTCAGATGACCACCTGCAAGAATGAGAACCCATGGAAGGGTTGCTGATCTCTGACACTTGGCCAGCCCCCACCATGTGTATGTTTCGCTGTCA